TGGAAATCCTAACGTCTCTCCTCTGTTTTTCACCACCATCAAACTCACCACCACTTAAGAGCATTGCACCATCACTGCTAAGCAACCATGGTAACCACCATTCCCCCTCTTTGTCTTATTATTTGCTTTTTAGTTGATCTCTCCTCATTCGCCTCTACCCTGACCCGTTCTTTGATGTGTACTTTAAGGGGCTAATATATTTTTGATTCTTGGCATGTTCTGACCAGGTAAATATAGGGAAATTAAGTTTTTCTGGAAAGTGAAAAAGTTTATTTTTTCTTAACTTATCCTACGATGCTAGAAAATTTATGATGATATTATGGACTGTAACATATATATGTTGTTTATTATGTGAAACAAAGTGTTTGCCAAAGCATGAAAGCTTTGTCTGATTGAATTTTGTAAAATGGAGCCTGAATGTTGTTAGTTGGGTATGCATTTCTTGTGTTTACTGTTCTGATTCTACATTTTTTCTTTCTTTCTTTAGTAACTATTCTTTATTTATCAATGAATAACTCATTCATTGTTCTTGATTTTGTATATTGGGCAGTAACGGGTTGTTTGTGATATGTTGGTGCTGATTTTGTAGTTGACCATGATATGGTTAGTGAAAGGTAGACAAAGAAAGTAATTTATTCAAGAGGATCAACAAGGTAAAAATGTATCCTAGAAAAAGTAAGAGACTTTCATTGCTTCTTCATCTGTTGATTAGTTTTCTTTTCCAAAAAAGCATATTGCTTAGGCCTTTACTCATATGGTACTCTTTCTATGTGTATCTATGTATGTGGATGGTATTGAGGAGAAAAAAGAATACTTAGCAGTGGCCCACCAACCATTCGTTGAAATTCCTTTAAGACATACACATATTTCCTTTATAACAGCCTTTTAAGTTTTAACATGGTGATGGGCTATAAATTTAGTGTTCAATCTGCAGAATCACTTGTGATCGAGACCTTGGTAAGTCACATGAATGTTTGTATCAATTCTTAGAGTTACCATCATGTTTTTTCTTTTAATTTTTATGTTTTTATGCAGGTTATTTGTTCCCGATTGCCAATATCTGATGTAGTGTCCATCTATGAACCGCTTTTTTGGCTAACTTTCCCGGTGTGTAATTCCATATCAAGGTTCATGTTTGGGTTTCAAAATAAAGCATCAATCATTGAAATTGAGGCTTTTGATATAGATAGGCAGTGATGATTTGGATTTAGTAACTCTTTGATTGTGTGTTGCTCTGTAGGAACAATATTGGAAGCAATATGAGACACATATGGTTGTCAGTAGATATTCTGCACTAAAATAGATATTCATCTAATTTCCATTGATGATATAACCACAAAGAAAATAAATTAGGGGTATATTCGACATATTTGTCTATTTGCCTAAGTTAATCCTTGCAATAGTTTTATGGCTTTCATATTTATTATCCATATGAAATTTAAGAATGATAATCATGGAATCCATTACATAATTAATCTCGACATGTTCCTACCTTTTGAAATACAGTTTAACATGCTTATTAAAAACATTACATTTTTTCTTGTATTATTTTATTGCAGGTGGGAGTCGTGACTAAATAGCCCTTCCAGATAGCATCACTAATGAGAATCGTGATCATGAAATAACACCACTTGAAGTTTGGGAGTGATCATGAAATAGCACCACTTGAAGTTTAGGATAAACAGAAGCGATATTAACACGTGAAATACCATTAATATTCGTCATTTCTGGTATTTTGGTGGTAACAACCGGTAGATTCAAACCTAATATTAGTTATATAAATGACTTTCATATATATATATATATATATATATATATATATATATATACATATTAAAAAGTTAACCATCTTGGTGCTTCTTTATATTTAATAGGCTAGGCTGATAAGATTTATGGCCATACGAAGATCAAATACATCTCATATGTAGGGGTGTTCATAACCGGATATCCGAAATTTCGGATAGTTGATTTTTGGTATCCGATTCCGTATCCGAAATTTCGGATATCCGAAGTTTCGGATATCCGAAATTTCGAATACGGATTCGGATACCAAAACGGATATCCGAAAATTTGAAATTTTGTTCAAATTTGAAAGGTTTTATATTAGAAAGACATATTTTTAAATTAGAAAGGCATATGAAGTAATATATGTATTTACTTAAGGGTATTATGAATATGTTTTAGTTACTAACATTCAAATTATAAGACATATGTGATTAAAATAACATGTAAAAGAGGTGTTTTTTGAATTTCGGATAATTCGGATTCGGAATTTCGGAATAATTCGGATTCGGAATTTCGGATCGGAATTTCGGATACGGATATTTTTGAACACCCCTACTCATATGTAGTAGCTACCAGTGGTGGTTTTACACAACTGCTAAAACTTTAACTGTTATGTAGCTTTTACCGGTTGAATTTTTAATAAAAACGATGTGACATTTTAATTATAATTACAATTGGTTTATAGTATTGAGTAAAGGTCTCATTCTAATTTTTCTTATGTTTGGTATACGATTGGAGTTTAGTTTAACTGAGTTGAGTATATTGGAAATGATAAAAACTTCTAATTATATGTTTTTATTTGTAAATGGATCAAACATACTTCATTGTTTTTCAGGTAGTAATTGTTGATTGGATCTTGTTTAAGGGTTTCATGATCGAGAAGAAACCATATACTAGAGAATAGCTATGGATCTCAATGATAAAATGGCAAGGAGAAGTACACAGCTAAGAAAAAATTGTACGTAACGGCTAATGAAGGATGTGGTGATTTAGGTGGTGTTTTAAGCATCTATACGGGTGAGTTTTCTGCTTTTGTGTCATGTGGTGGTCAAACCATTTGGTCAAATTGGGGTGAAATGGTATCCATTCATCCAATAATGAGTTTCATTGATAAACAAAAGTTTTATTAAATGTCTTATTGCTCTTTGTATTAGTTGAAGGATTGAATTGTTAGACTTATATTATTCTTTTTTAGTAAATCAAACATAATAATGATGGATGGTGTAAACCAAACTGATTGGTCGATATATCTAAGTAAACCAAATAATTTTTTTTGTATGGGTGGCTTAGTGTTCACTTTTTAGTTTCCTTCAATGAGAATCATAAGTTGTAGTTGTATTTTATGTGTCTTTTAGAATACTAAATTATACATACATTGTAGATATTTTAACTAAAAAACTATTCTTCACTTGCTAAAAAAAGTATAGGGAATTTGTTCCATGCCCGAACAGTGTGTCCGACCTTTGTAGGATGCAATCAAATTCTTATACATTGAATGTTCTTTGGAAGATGACATGTTTATGTATAGAAACTAATCATTAAAACGAATATAATCGCCAAAAGACACTATTTGACGAACGAAAACTATTATTTCCGCAAGACCGATTGATAACAACATGTTTCTATTTTGATTTCCTTGAAATAAATTAAAAATAATTTGGTTCATAATTAAATACACAATCAATAGTTATTCTGAAATACAAGTTGGAGATAGCTCATTTAGCTAACAAGGTGTCTAACAAGGAATTACTAACTAGGAGGTCATGGGTTCTATCCCAGGCATATACTAAACCCGCCGTTAAAAAAATAGTTATTCTAAAATACATTAGAACACACATCCGACAAACAAAAGATTTTTCAAAATTTTCACATTTGGTTCATAACTAAATACACAAACAAAATTACAAAATTGAAAAATAAAAAAGTGTGTTTACCACATGTTCTTTAGAATATAACATGTTTCCGAACAATAAATCAAACAATCAAAATTTTCAAAATAAGCTCCTTATTTCTCAAACTTATGATAACCGATAACTAAAATTGTCAAAAAGATCACCATATACCCTAAACCGACAAAATGCCACAAAGAACTACCTCACACCTAAAGGAAACTAATCACTACATTAAAACTGCGGAAACAAACTATCCGCACCCGTCGCTTGGCGCGGGTATACGGCTAGTATATATATATATATATATATATATATATATATATATATATATATATATATATTACTTGTGTTAGAATTTTTGATTTCTGAGGTCAATGGTTGAAAGTTAGTGGTATTGGCAACAAAATTAATGACACTAACTTTCACATAGTTTAGTCAATGAGAAATCAAAAATTCTAAAGCATGTTATTTTGTGGTAGATGAAGAATAAATGATGTATTATGTATATGATTCCAAAATCCATCTCCTTACACTCAAATAAAGCTCATTTCATTATAAATGTAAGATTGCCAACCTGAAGTCTAGGTAAGCCATTAGCATCACACCAACCCTTGCTTAGGACTTCTAGGAGAAAGTTTACAATCAAACCTACATCTAGCTTGTCAAAAGGGTAAATGTTCTCATTGCCAAATAAGCCAATGTCTAGATAATAAAAAGAAAGTGTTCAAATCAGTCAACGTCTACCTTATAAAAAAAGAAAAATGTTCTAACTGTCAAATAAACTCATATCATAAAAGAAAAAAATGTTTGTGTTATCAAATAAGTCCAGATTATATTTATAAAAAGGAAAAATGTTTCTATTTTCAATTTCCAGACAACACACAAGTCTTAATCTATTTCAAGTATGAATGCATATCTTCATAATATAAATCATTGCACACAACAATTATATTTTCCAACACCTTGCAAAACAAGTCTTCATGTATGCAAAAGCTTACATATAGTATTTCAGAATTGATAAATGTTAAAAATTAAAATAAAAAAACTAAATGAAAAAGATAAAATGATATTATTCGAATCGAATTCACATTCAGAATAAGCCAAATAAAACAAGCCACATTTACAATTTCTACATTTTCTCAAAAAATAAATTTCAAATTCATTTAAAATTTTATCAACCAAATACTAAATAACATTTTAATCATCCTAAATTCAAAAAGAAAAAAGAATAAAAAAAATTCTCACGAAAATCCAGCAATGCAATTGCAATTTGCAAACTCCTGTTATCATATATGGGCCTTCGTTTTTATTTGATAGCCAGAAGCCCAGAACAAAACACAATCTCTCCGTTCCAGATCAATACGCTTCCTAAACCCTAGCATATTTGTTCTCTCTCTGTTTGCCGTCCGGCACTACGAATCTCAGTTTCTCCGATCAAATAACAGTCGGAAAGTCTGAAACCATGGCGTCGGCGGATCAAACAGTGCTGCAGTTCGTACCTTTGTCTACCAGCCTGTCAGCCAAGGTTCATCCTCTTGTGATATTCAATATCTGTGATTGTTTTGTGAGACGACCGGACCAAGCTGAAAGAGTCATCGGAACGCTTCTTGGATCCGTTCTCCCTGACGGAACGGTGGATATTCGTAATTCGTATGTCGTCCCTCACAACGAATCGTCTGACCAGGTTAGCTTTAAATTAACCTACTTTGTGCTTTTTGGTGCTGTGTCAAGTATTGTTAGCGCAGAAGTGTAATTGTTGATTTACTAGCAGAAAATAATAATAATGCCTAACAGCAAGGTCCGCTATGTAATATTGGTTGTGACCTTCAACAGAAGTTAGAGGTGGACAGCCTTGATTTTTAAATGGAATTTAACATTAGTGCCATAACGAATGAAAGTTATCTATCAAAAGCTTAAGCTATAGCGAACTGTCATCCGACACTTATTTCATATTCTCTTTTATCATTTTGCAAGGTTGCTCTGGATATTGATTATCATCACAACATGTTGTCGTCTCACCAAAAAGTGAATCCAAAAGAAGTGATTGTTGGATGGTAATTTCTCTTCAAATGTGCCTTAACTATTGTCGATTTACACTTGTTTCTCACTTTATGTATTGTCATCCCATGTCATGCTGTTTGATTTTGCATTACCTATAGTTGAAAATGTTAACTGTTTGTTACATAACTAGTTTATTTTTAATTATATTGCTTCCTAGACTTCTATGGTTGGACTGTGAGACTGTAATTATTATGACATGTGAGCTTTCTTTTAATTGCTTCTACTAAGAGTTGTAGGTGGTTGAGGATCCCAGTGTGCTTTCTGTAAATGTTTTGCACACAGTGTGTAAGTAATTAACCATTTATATGTGAGGAATCATAATTATTTTAGCTTTCTCATCTTATTTACTAGCTAAAGTTCCTTTTAACTTTCAGAACTCTTGTTTACCTTGAATCTTCAAAATGAGAAACTGCTTGTATAATGTAATATAAACCCATATGTTGAAATTTCGGAGTATTTTTAGTCAGTTGTGAACTTGCGACTCTGATTCTTTGTATATTAAAGATTATGATTACATGTTGTGAATACATGTTGAGGGCAATAAGGTAGGCATTCATATGTGAAAACACATTTTAGCAGCCTGAAAGAAAAGATAGGAATATTCATCTAACTGGAAATACAGGAATGGAAAAGAAGAGTGAATAGAAAATAATTAGACTGTATCATGGTGCTCTTGCTTTTATACTTTTCAACATGTATTATTTATTACCCTGTTTTACTTGTAATCGCTTCCCAGAACCGTGTCAAGTAATATCAACTTATAAAATATAATGGGAAAAATTGATGAAACTGATATATTAATGTGATCTGAAAACTGTGTAGGTTTTCAACTGGATTTGGGGTGACAGGTGGCAGTGCTCTTATTCACGAGTTCTATTCAAGAGAAGTTACAAACCCTGTTCATCTGACTGTGGACACTGGATTCACAAATGGGGAGGCTTCCATTAAAGCTTTTGTATCTATGAACCTGTCTCTGGGAGATCAGCAACTTGCTGCTCAGTTTCAAGAAATCCCTCTCGATCTCCGTATGGTTGAAGCTGAACGTGTTGGATGTATGTCTCTTTTAACACACCCGCATTCTACTTTCATTGATTTGTTTGCGAATTGGTAAAATATATGATGATGATGATGATGTTTGTGAATTGTGATTTTAGTTGAGATTCTGAAGAGCACAGCAGTTGACAAACTCCCAAGTGATATGGAAGGCATGGAAGCAAGTATGCAACGCTTGCTAGCTTTAATTGATGATACCTACAAATATGTTGATGATGTTGTCGTAAGATTTATTATTCTTATTATTACAAATTGTTTACATTTTCCCTCTTTTAAAAAAAAAAAAAAAAAAAACGCCTTCATATATCTTTTGACTTTTTCAGGAGGGTCGTGTGGCACCTGACAACACGGTTGGAAGATTTATATCGGAAACCGTATCATCCGTTCCAAAGATATCACCACCGGCTTTTGATAAGCTTGTCAATGATAGTCTACAGGTAAACTAATACCATTCTACTTCAAATTATTTTCAAATTAAGACATCAATCATACTTTGAAGTTTTTTTTTGTTATTCCTAAATTGCCCTTTTGATTTACAGGACCAATTGCTGTTACTGTACCTGTCAAGCATAACAAGGACACAACTAAGCTTAGCAGAGAAACTCAACACTGCTGCCCAGATCCTGTAAAAGTAAAAACCAGAATAACCAAATCTTGTTATCTTCAAGAGAGATTTTGTTTTTGTAAGAGGTTGTTATTTTTACTGTTAGTCGAGTGAGTGATTGTGCAAATGAAATTCATAGATGCTACTACTAAATTCATATTAGTGGTCGTTTTACTTTTTGGAAGTTTTGGATCAAAGTGTGTTATCTTTTATATTGTTTGGCCAAGTATGTTGATTATTTTTAGTTATATTCCCTTGTGCTTGCATACAAGTTATATCAAGTGATTAAATTCAAGTGAGCATGTTAAACAAGGCCTAAATGCACCATTTTGGTTGTTCTTGATTATATATTTTTCTCCCTCATGTGCAAGTTGTGTCGAGATGTTGCAAAAAGATAAACCATAAATTTAGCATAACTTAACACAAAAGTTAATGATTGATTTTGCAAATGAAGTTTATATATTTTTATCAGTTTATACTACGTTTCAAGTTAACAAACTGTATCTTTTACCAATTCATTCATAATAATCTTTTTTAGGATAATTCGGGATTAAATAAACGTGTAAAATATATAGGCTCAAGAAAGTAACGAAGAAACATGTGGGATCCGAACAATTAATTTCTTATATTGAAGATATATACGTATTTTTTATGGGCTCCTTGATATAAATGAATTATTTACTTGGGCTAAAAAGGTCAAAAAGAAACTTTTGGTTTCTAAAGTCGATTTCAATAAGGCTTGAATTGGGGTTTCTTGGATTTGGACATTTGGTGATGAAACAAATGAATTTTAGCACGAAATGGAGGGGATATATTAAATGTTCGCATTTCTTCTGGTAGAACTTCAATTTTTTAAAAGGTTCTTCTTGTATAAAGATATCATCAACTTTTATGATAAGCAATCCGTCAAACAAAAACAAAACTAGCACTAAAAATCATTAAAAAATTCGAATAGAAACCGATTAAAGATTCGGAATTGTGAGAACTGACTTTGAATACTGTAACTTCTATTAATACATGAATTATGTTATAGTATTAACCATTTAATGCTAAGAATAATCGGGTCTTACAGTATCCCGCTCAAGTTGGAAGGCCAAGAACTTATCATTTGGAGGTCTTATTAATTCCTTTTTAGGGAGTCTTCCACTCTATTTTTTCTCACTTTTTAAAGCGCCTAAGAAAGTTGTTGACACCTTGGAAGGAATTAGAAGAAGATTTCTTTGGGGAGGAGAAGATAACAAAAAGAAAATAAATTGGGTTGCTTGGAAGACTTTGGTTAAACCGAGACATCAAGGGGGATTGGGTGTGAATTGTCTTATATCGCTCAATTTAGCTCTTCTTGTCAAAATGACATTGGAGACTCAAAACCGAGCTCAACAACCTTTGGGTGAAATGTATAAAATTGTGGCATAGGATCTCATGCAATGATGGTAAACCGTTGGCTAAAGCTTTTCTTACGGCATTTGCATGATATTTAAAAAACAGGCGTTGGTTTGGAGGAGTGTGGTGTTTATATTGATACCTTGACAGAAAGAAGGGTGGAGGATGGAAAAAAACATTCACTTCTGGAAGGATAAATGGTGTGAAGGGTTGGTTCTCAAAGATGTTTATCCAGTCTTATATCGAATTGAAAGGAACAAGAATTGTATGGTTTATGACAAACTATAGTAGTTCAGACCTCATGTCACAAATGGAAGCTTTGAAGATAAATAAATATGGTTCCAAACTTAGGTGGTCCTTAATTAACTTTACCTCCATGGAGCATATGAAAAGCTGGAAATGATATTTTTTTCAAGAAGGCGAGGCACAATCCCATGAAGAGGATGAATGAGATACAACTTAATTCTTTCAAATAAATTAAACATCGATCTAAGTTCATGTTGTTACTTTGGTGTGATTGGTGTAATTTTTCATTTATTTGCTATTAACTCTTGTACCTATGATGTTTTGTTTTTCTTTTCCAGCATCTCATTAGTTTTTAATAATATTTTCGTCGTTCAATTTTTTTTTTTTAACATTATTGTTGTTCTTATTTGAACATTTCAATTAAAATTAATAAAAATAGATCAATAACAGTTTTAAAATTAAGAATAACTGCTTTTAAGATTTTTAACAATTTTGATTTTTGTTTGAATCTTTCAATTAAAATTAAAAAAAAAAAAGAATTAAAAAAATAAAAGATTTGAAATGGAAATATGAATGGGGATTCCCACAAATGAAGGGTTGGTCGGATGCCATTAGATGTACATTTTAGCAAAGGACGGAAATCAGGGCCGCCTCAAATTCACTCACGCTTGCCTCTTACAACTCAATCTGCACATAATACAATTACTTTAATGCCCTCGGTTTTCACCCCTTTCTCCATTCAAACAAAATATTATTTCGGACAACTGGAAAGAGACTCACTCACTAGTCAGAGTCACTACACAATTCTCTCCCCACTTTTTTTTTTGACTCTTTTAAGTTTTAATTTACCCCCTTCGTTCACTAATTATTATATTTCTCAAATACAATAATAAAACTAAAAATTACATTAGAGAACAAAACAAATAACACAATCGTTTTTGGTCTGTTTGTTAACATTGTGGTTATGCATTTTAAAAAGAAATAAAATAAAATAATGGGCAGTTCGTTTTTTCTTTCTTTGTAGATATATTTAATTTATAAGTGGGGAAGGGAGACAAAGAAGGGAACCGCAGCCAAACTAAGGTTCCAAGTGGCTAATGACAAAATCAACTAATAATAAATAAATTACTTCTTCATATATATTGTATTTAATAAGAAATCTTATTTTAACAAGCTAACATAACAACGAGTTGTCTGTTAAGTAATATTTTTCACGACTTCGTTTTACAAGTAAAATTAAATAATGAATGAGATGGTTATTAATTACAGTTAAGGACACTTACTAATTTTATATTTATCTTTAAAATTTTGTTTCTTACATGTTTAATTCTGATTATTTTAACTTTGAGTATATTAAATACATAAAACATATCATTTTTATTAAACATTGCAATACAACTTATTTGTTTGTCAAAATATTTGACACCTACTACTACACGTGAATATTTGGATCTCTGGACCGGACCGGACCTGAACTGGTTTTTTATAATAGGGTTAGTTCTCGGTCATATGAATCAAGTAAAATTGGTCCGGGGTACCAAACCGGTCCGGTCTGGGTACAAAATCGGTTTGGACCGGATTTAAAAAAAAAACAAATCTTTAGCACATCTTTTCTATATATCTCATTCAGTTGGATTGACATGTGATTTTTTTTAGTATGTAATTTAAAGTTTGTACATGACTTTAGACTATAATTTTATATTTTTTTGTTTTATATTCAATGACTTACTGTCCCCCGAAACTGGGATATCAAAACTGAAAATTTTCAACTTTTCAACTATTTTTTTAGCCTTTATTATTATGTGAAATCTTTAAAACATGGTTTGAAGTTGGATGAACATGCAGTTTTGTTCCAACATGTAGTCTAGAGTTTGTACATGATTTTAGAATACAATTTTGTTGTTTTTAGTTTTATATTTAATGACTTACAGTCTCCCGAAGTTGGAATATCAAAACCGAAATTTTCAGTTTTTTAACTATTTTTAGACTATAAATTTGTCGTTTTTGGATTTGTATTTGTTTTATGCTTCATAATAGATAAACTAACTTTCGATAAGGCTTCAATGATTTGCACCGTATGCACCTAAAGTTGTACAGGTCCAACGAGTACAAGAACCTGAAAACTCGGACTTGGACCTGGACCTAATAATACTTCGGTCCAAGATCCACCAATTTCTGCCAAACCGGTTTGGTCCAAGAGCCGATTCGGTCCAAATGCTCACCTCTACCTAATGCAAATACTCTTTAAAAGTCTTAGGTCAAAGTAAGCATTGTATTTCATTTTAATAAATAAAAGACAGCCATTTCATTCTCAAAATAAATACCAACATCTTTCTTGTAAGGTTACAATAAGTGTCACAACAATCTTTTATATTTTTTTAAGATTGTTTTATTATTTAACAATTAAAATAGAGAATAATGATTTTGGCAAGTTTATTAAAAAGAGCATGTTTATGTTTATTATTGATAGTTGAGGTGGAGTAGTCAAGAACATTGTTGGGAATTGGAGAAAGCAAATTGACCATCTCACTTCTTCCAACAATTACACTCCGACCACATAAGTTAAACAACTTATTTCTTATGTATTTATATCTTTTATGAAATCATATAATATCTTATTGCTTTCATTCGATCTTATGTAAATAAATTAATATTATTTGAGACAATCAAGATAAGATGAAAGGAAATACTAAGAAGAAAATATAACTGTTTTTGCTATTATAAATAATTTATTTTCGGGTTGAATAATAAAGATGTAACTTATATTATTATTATTATTATAATTACCATCAAAATGGCTTAAAGTGGTGATGGTTTGGTGTGAAACACTCAACTGAATAAATATCTTTATGTAAATATATAATTACAAAATATAAAAATAATATTGTATTCCATTTAAATGCCACATATATAGTTAAATGCCATTATTTATACTTATTATAAGTCAACTTATGTAAGACGTATTTTGACTATATGATACATAAGAACAAATTGATACTATTCTAATAAATGTATGGTATTATTATTATTCGATAATAAAGATAATTTATTAATATGAAAGGCAAACCAGGGAATCAACTTATTTAAATAATTGTTGATTTATGTGTTCTTTGTCAACCGTACCTTTTTCTATTAATTAAAACATACGCTTGTTTAAAAACTTGATGGTATATGTCAAGTCTATTATTGGAGTAGTTTATATCTCTTTCAAAAAATATTCATTATTTAAAAACTCGTTGTTAAATACGATGTTTAAAATATAATTCAAAATTTTGAAAAACTGCAAGCGTATTAGTCATTAGATTTTTAAGCCTTTGCAATCTTAAAAGTCGTTGGTCGTTCTTTTTTTCAAGTAAATTAATCAAATAAACTCAAAATGTTAAAAAATAAATAAATTACAATGATTAGTGATTTTGAGATAAGTTACAAAAATATGAATGAAAATTTTTATTGGATTTGGATTTTTTTGATTATATATTTCGTTTAATTTTACTGCTACAAAAACAATGTTTATTAAAAAAATCAATTCCTTTCTTTTTCTTTTTTGATATGCTAAAATAGTTATAAGCATGCGTAGAATTGTTTATACACATGGGTTTTGATGATATGTGAATGTAA